ATGCTCCTTAGGTTTACATAGATCTTTGAATTTTATCCAATGATGTTTAGGCCTATGATTTATACTCCCCCAAAAAAATCTTGCCACCTTTCTTTTGATCATGCTAAGAACAGATTTAGGCAAACTAGTAAATGCCTGAATGTGCAGAGGTAAAGAGTTAAGCACATACTTAATTAACACCAATCTGCCCCCTTGAGATAACATCCTTTTGTCCCCATGAAGAGAGTTTTTTTTTTATCAAAGGAGTCCAAGAATTCCTTATAGTGGGACAATCGGGTAATCCCTTGATGAAGTTGGATTCCCAAGTATTTAAATGGTAGTTTAGAAATCTTCATGCCTAGAATGTTTTCAGAATGCAAAATCCTAGAAACATTTGTATGTTTTCCCGCTACAAAACAACTTTTTCCGTTGTTGACGAGCTGACCTGAAGCTTGTTGATATAACTGTAAGAAGTTTCTAAAATTCTGAGATCATCCACAAAGGCTAAATGCGTAATTTGAATACTTCTTCCCATATTATAAGCTTCAATGGCCCTTGAAGACACTAAAGTTTTTAATCCTCTAGAGAAAGCTTCGGACATAATTATGCATAGCAAGGGGGACAATGGGTCCCTTTGTTTCACACCCCTAAAGGGCTTGAAAAAACCATAGGGAGCTCCATTAATCAAGATAGAAATGAAAGTAGCTTGGAGAGTTCCCATAATCAAATTTATAACATGCTGCCCAAAACCAAATTTACCTAGGATAGCCTGTAGGAAATCCCATGACACCCTATCAAATGCCTTAGCCATATCCAATTTAACAACAATTTTTGAGCCTCTTACTTTCCTATCCAAATTATGCAACATCTCAAGAGCAGTTAGAACCTCGTTTTTCATCTCTCTCCCTTCCATAAACCCGGATTGTTCCCAAGACATAATTTCCGGCATAATAGAGGCCAGTCTAGTCGCCAAGATCCTTGTGTTAACCTTGCTAATGAACGTAGATAAACAAATTGGCCAAAAATCTCCAAAAGATACCATGTTCTTTTTTTGGAATTAAAACCATATTAACACTTCCCACTCCCTTAGGAATAGGAAGACCCAAGTAAAATTCTTGAACAGCCAGAACTACATCTCTTTTAATAAACTCCCAGCAGCCCTTATAGAAACACCCTCCATAACCATCTGGACCTGGGACAGCCTCTTGACTGAGATTCCAAATTGCCTCCTTGACCTCGGCAACCTCTTGACTGAGATTCCAAATTGCTTCCTTGACCTCGGAAGTCCAGGAAACAAAGCATTATCCGTTTCATTTAGCACCTGAGGAATATTTCAAAGCACCCTATCATAGGTAGAAAAAAGAAACCACTTCAGCTGCAATTCGACCTTGATCATAACACCATTCCCCATTAGTTGTTTTAATGGCTATGATTGTAACACCCCGCTCCTGCAGGATCTGAGGTAGTTACTCCAGACCTCTAGTACTGTCCTCACAAACCACCACAAGACTTTACCGCACACTTTGTCCTCACTCGTGCGCGCCCTGAGAAACTTCCCAGGGGTCACCCATCCCAAGACTACTCCCTTGCAACCGCGGTGACCGCGCCCTTACCCAAAAGCTCTTCCGAATCAGCGCCCAAACAACTCCCTATCTCGATGCATGGGAATTGCGACTGAGTGAAGGATTCTGAAATTTAGCTCTCGGAGTGATTTGTAGGAAGCTAGAAACACCCCTCGCTGAAGACGACTACACATGCCCCCAAAAGAAAACCCTAGACCACGCTAGGCAAAAACTCACGCCAGACAAGTCCTAGCCGGACCGCCGGAAAACACCGCTAGGAAGAACTCTAGATAGGCCGCTTTACTGGAGTATCAGTTAGATAATGGAAAAATAACTCAAGCGTAATCGGAAGGCAACAATTTTCAGTATATTAAAAAACCAAATTAAAATAAGACTAAATTATTATATATAAGGTAATAAGGGGATAAACCTTAATTTACATCCTATTGTAGTTTTCTCATTTCCGCACCAACCTTTGGGAGGCGTTTACTTCACTGCTAAAGTCACAGTTAGGTTAGTAAGACAGGTGAAGTAAACACGCACACTGCTTAAAAAGCCGCTTACTAACCGAAAGAGGTGCTTAAAGTGCCGCTTATTAAGCATACCACCCCCCATGTATTAATTAAGCGGCACTTTAAGCTTTTCCAGTTTCCGAATTTACCCCTTGCCCGTAACCTATTGTTATCCCTGCCCCACCTCGACCCCAACCCCACCTACCCCGACCCCACCCTACCCTTACCCCCACCTACCCTGACCCCACCCTACCTTGACCCCACCCTACCCTTACCCCACCTACCCTACCCCACCCCGACCCCACCCTACCTACCCCACCCCTACCCTACCTAACCGACCCCCACTCTACCCTTACCCCACCTACCCTGACCCCACCCTACCTCGACCCCACCCTACCCTTACCCCACCTCGACCCCACCCTACCTACCCCACCCCTACCCTACCTAACCGACACCCACCCTACCCCACCCCACCCCGACCCCACCCCTACCCTACCTAACCGACCCCCACCCCTACCCTTACCCCACCTACCCCACCCCACCCCACCCCTTGCCCCACTTACCCTACCCCACCTACCCTACCCCACACCACCCCTTACCCCACCTACCCTACCCCTACCCGACCCCACCTTACCCCTACCCCTACGGGCCTATGGGGTAGGGGCCTATGGGGTCGGGGGTAGGGTAGGGTGGGGACAGGTTAGGGTGGGGTCAGGTAGGTAGGGTAGGGGTAGGGGGTAGGGGTAGGCGGTGGGTGGGGTCGGGGTAAGGTAGGGTGGGTAAGGGGTTAGGGGTATGGGTACACATATTATATTATATACTTGTGTTCATGAATGTTTGTGTGTATATATATGTATAGGGTTATTTTGGACATTTTAATGTTAAGCGGTGTTTTAAACCGTTTGAAGTAAACACGGTCTTACAACATTGTTTATTTTATGCGCCGCTTATTAACACGGGTCTTAATAAGCACCGTTTAATAACCGGTGAAGTAAACATGTCCTTGGTCTTGAGTCTTGACCTGCATCACTGTCACGCCGACAATGGAATTCGCTTTAGAATTTAAGGTCTATTTTCGACTATATTATTGGTTTCTCACTTTACCCATTTTAATTTAATAATATTACGACAATGAATCAATGATGCTTTTAATATTGCACTTCAATTTTCACTTAAAGTTATCTAACTATTGGGTTATGCATGGGCGGATCTTAGTAAAGACTCAGGGACCACGGCACCTCCTAGAAAAATAATTTTTTCATTGTATATATGAGGAAAATATAATTGCCCCCCAAGACAATATGTTGCCCCCCAGGATCGTAGTAGAGACACATGGGACCACAGTACGTCGCATGGACTACGACTGCCAAAATGATGAAGGTGTTTACGCCATCACAATCGAGGACTCCTCATAGTCCTTCGCCCCATGAGGGCCCATGAGGGCAGCAAGGGGATAACAACCACAACCCTTGGATTGAGGTCGGGAGGCGTCCCATCTTCAGTCGCTTCGGAGACAGATTTATGACTAACCAGCGCCTGTCTGTCAACATCCGGGGGGATGAACAGGGCGGATTCCCCAGTCGTGAATGTGCCCCAACACCGCCCAGTGACCAAAACAGCAAGGGCGGATTCCTCAGTCCTGGATTCCGGCTTTTGAGAGGCCAGGGGGCAATCATTCCCCTAGATTAGCCCCCCCCCCACCCACGTCCACGCCACCAACAGTTGCCTTCTCCACTAAGAAGCTGTTCTCTTCGCCTGATCTGAATGTTTCTGATCTGAATTTTTTAAGTTCTGATCTGATCTGATCTGAATTTTTCTGATCTGATCTGATCTGATCTGAATCTTTCTGATCTGATCTGATCTGATCTGAATCTTTCTGATCTGATCTGATCTGATCTGAATCTTTCTGATCTGATCTGAATGTTTCTGATCTGGTCTGATCTGATCTGAATGTTTCTGATCTGATCTGAATCCTTCTTATCTGATCTGAATCTTTCTGATCTGATCTGATTCGAATATTTCTATGATTATAATTATAATTATAATTATAATTATTATTATAATTGCAATTACAAATATAATTTAAATAAAATTATAATTATAATTGTAATTATAATTACAATATTTATCTCTATAATTGTAACTATAGTTATCAATATTATTATAATTACTCCATAAAATAATTACAATGGTAATAATAATAATAATATTAATATTAATTATAATAAAAATAATAATTATAATCATAAATTATTATTATAATATAATTATAAGTATAATTATAATTATTATAATTATAATTAATAATAATTATAATTATATTAACATTAATTATAATATTATAATATAATAATAGTAATATAAATACAATTAATATTATTATAACGATATTATTATATTAATATTATTATTACAATAATATAATAATAATATGATTATTATTATAATTAGTATTATATTATTATAATATTATATTATATTTATAATTATAATCATAATTATAATTATGATTGTAATTATAATTATAATTAATTACAATTATAAATATATTTAATTATAGATATAATTATAATAATTACAATTGATTATACTTATAATTATAAGAATTATAATTGTAATTATAATTATAATTACATATAATTATAATAATATTAATCATATTATTATTATTATAATGTTGTCATAATAATAGTCTTCTTAACAATTGCATTTATATTACTATTATTATATTAAAAAATTATAACTATTATTAATATCTTTTTTTATCATATTATTATTAATATTATTAATAATAATTATATAATAATAATCATTATAGTAATAACAATAATAATAATAATAATAATAATAATAATAATAATAATAATAATAATAATAATAATAATAATAATAATAATAATAATAATAATAATAATAATAATAATAATAATTAATATTTAATATAATAATAAAAGTGAAAAATCATGTTTGAACTTTTCTGATCTGATCTGATCTGATCTGAATGTTTCTGATCTGATCTGAATGCTTCTGATCTGGTCTGATCTGATCTGAATGTTTCTGATCTGATCTGAATGCTTCTGATCTGATCTGATCTGATCTGATCTGATCTGAATTTTTCTGATCTGATCTGATCTGATCTGAATAAAATAAGAATAAGCAATAAGTAATAAGAATAAGACGAACAGAACAGCACCTAAGGCAGCAAAGGATTGCACCTCCGCGCCAGCAACAACCTCCACGCCAATTCAACCTCGGTTATCGGTTCCTGAAAAAAATATGTACCAGGAACCGTTAAGGAACCGTTATACGGAGTATATAATAATTAAAATTATATATATTTATTATGAGTATATATATTTTCATGTATATTTACTTATTTATTTTTATATTACATTCATTACTTTAGTTTAGTTATTTAACTATTGAAAACTATATTTAAAAAAAAACTATTTAAAACTATTATTCACTTCAACCGGTTCTCTTAGGCTTCTTAGGCATCTCATTAGGTCTAAACTCCAGCGGGTCGGAACTCGGAAGGTCCAAAGTATGTAAAATTATTATTTTCTTTAACTGATTCAGCATATTTGTATTGTAATTTCAAAGACTATGAACCGTTAAATGACAAGAACCGAACCGTTAAGAACGGTTCGGCTCCTTATCGATTCTATAAAATAGTTTATAAGAACCTAATCCTTATTAAAATTTAGGTCCCACCCTAAATTTTCATCACAGCACAGGCGGTTGTATGATGGAGCTCTGCACAGTTCCTTGTCACTCTTATGCGTCTTCTACTTGTACAGCCTAATCTCCATCTCTTTCTCTGAGTCTCTGAACAAGTCTAACTCTGCCTATTTTTGTATGTTTTGTTTGCAAGTTATTCTGTTTGTTTATTTATCACGTGGACAGCTGTTAATATCCCATTTCATCATACATCGGATATCTGCGGCTTTTATGTTTCTAATTTCATACCATGGTTACTGGTTTATTTGCTTCATTCAACACCTAGAGCTAGCCTGGTAGCCCGTAACTTTTCTAATAGAAGGATTTTCACCTCTGTTAGCATGTTGATTTTGTCATCTGATGAGAAGTCCTTTTAATTTGTTTGTTATAGTTCTAGTGCCCCCCAATGATCGCTTGATTTGTAAAGGAAAGAGAATAACTTTTTAAACTGCTATAAGTGGGCGGCAAATGATAATTGCCTAGAAAATCAAAAGTGAAACTCATTTTCCTTGTTAATTCTTTTGCCAGGTAATGCTCTCTCTTGGGCTCAGCATCGTGTTTTCAGTAGGAAGAAGAACTTTAGATATGGTTCTGCTGTAAGGAAATTGAGTATTCCGAAGAATGTCGAACAAGAAAAGGCATATTTGTTAGAGAGTATCCTTGGTCGAATTAGTTGTTTGAATACAAGGGATGAAGGTGGGAGTTTTCCACCCCAATCTATTGGTGTAGGGGCAAAGGTGATTTATGCTGTCTCTCCTGCCTTGGGTCACAACAAGGTACAGGAAGTTCAACAATGTACTTCGGTTTAACTGTGAAGTTATTCTAGGAGTTGCATATAGCTTATTTTCCTGACACTGGATGACTAGACTAGGTTTCTTACATTCACGGTAAAGTAAAAAATTCTAACTGTGTACTTTTATCTTATCCTAGAATTTTGATGGATTTTACTTTTAGTATGTCAAAATATTTCTATTGAATACCACCTTATCGATTTCATCAGGAATCGCATCCAGAATGCAACTCCAGAGTCCCTGCAATTATGAATGCTCTGGAGAAGATGGAGTTGACTTCAGAGGTATGGTACACATAGTTGTTAAATTTGATCAATTTTTGAATCGTGATCACTTCGTATTGCATGCAGGTACTATATAAAACATATTGATAATAATCCTAGGTAACAAAATTAATACCCACAACAGGAAGAAAATGCTCATAGTTCTGGAATACTAAATCAAGTCTCATTGAATCATATGTAATTGTTGGGAGGCTATGTTGGATTGTGAAATATGTATCCTGAACCTATGATACTAAGAACTATGATGAGACACATAAAAGTCTCAAATATTTACATGCTTTATTTTAAGTGCATGCACCCTCTCTAGTCTATACATGCATTTTAAAAAGGGTGTTCCTTGTTTCTTTGATGTTGACGTGAATGCATTTTTAATTATGATACATCAAGTGCGGCCTCTGTCTGGAATTAAATTTACTAATACAAGCATGACTCTTTTTTGGTTCAGAGTGAGGGTTATGTTATAGAGTTATAGTCTTATAGGATTCACCTAATCAAACAACTGCATTGTACTTCAGCACGGAGGATCCGATATCATTGAACTGCAGAAGTTTAGACCGGCTACAGTAGATGAAATAGCAGGTGTTCATACCAGACCCTACATTTTAGGCCTTGAGAAGGTAACTTTTATCCTCCATTGATATTTTTCATTTCAGATATGAATCACAGTGCTCTCTACCTAAATAATTTCTGTAAGGCTTGGTAGAACTCCTGTAGAGCTTGTACTTATGATTATATTTAAGGCATTCTTCACATTCACAGATCTCTATTTTATCCTTAGTTTACCAATATTAGATATGTCATCAACTCCTTTTACTATGACATCGTATTGTCTACTTGTGTATTTATTTTCCTTACTTTTCTCTTTTATATATTTTTCAGACTATGAATCGGGCTTCAGAAGAAGGCCTAATTCTTATTGATGGGTCCGGACCAACTTATGCCACTGCAACCGTAACAATTGGCTTATTTCCTTTATCTCAATTCTCCTAATTGTTTTTTATGATGACAAGTGGTCTTAGTTGCATGGTGGCGGCATGGTTCCAGTGTTGTTATATAGTCTTGCTTGGGGGGAGGGTACCTAATTTGTTGTTGTTATTGGTGGTCAGTATTTTATGCCATAATTTAAAAAAGCGCGCCTGAGGCGCGCAAAGGCGCTAGGCGCCCTAAGGCGATGGGTTCATCGCATCTTAACCCCCTAGGCGTAGCAGATTCCAAGAGGCGCGCCTTCTTTCACGCCTTTTGCCGCTTTTTGCGCGTCTGAGAGGCGTCCGCCTCTCACGCCTCTTGGAAGTGTCCGATAGTATTTCTTCAAAACCTTGGCGATTAACGTTTGGAGCCTTTTAGCGATTCAGTCATTCAGATATTACTTCCAGAATATCGTAGGTCTTATATATAGTTAAGTTAAAGTTCATCAAACTCTATGTCTATCTATTATCTTCTGCCTTCTGCGTTTGCTTCTCTTCTTCTGCCTTCTATCTTCCGCTTCTCTCTCACGCCTCGGGTAAGTCAATGAAATCGCCTCAAGCCGCCTCGTGCCTTTTAAAACTAAGTTTTATGGATGAGTTGAATATATGTATCAGTGTGTGTTTCTAGTTTGTGCTATGTAGACTCTCTTTCACCCTTAGAGATCATTGTGATAACTTCACAATGGCAGTCAGCAGAACCCTCATCAAGTCAAGCCTGCTTAGTCAAGAGTGTATTGAGTTATTTACCGATAACTGAATGAACGAATCAATATGCTACATCAGTTTTGTTTCTATGCTATAATGTCTGGAATGTTTGTAACTAGAGTACCATCTAACTTTTCCTCTTTGACAATGATGCAGACGTTCCAAGAGTCTTTAATGGCAGCCGGAGCTGGTATTTCTTTGCTTGATTCAGTGGTAACGTTTTAATATATGATTTTACTTTACTTACTGATGAATGCTCACTTCTCCACTTTTTTAAGCTGCTAGGGTCATGAAGGATGGGGATTTCCCAATACCTGCCATTGTTGCTTCCATAATCTGCTAGCAGGGACGAACACTACAGAGATGTTTCTGGTATCCTTTGCAACAAATGGATACGGCTGGTATTTGTGGGGAACAGCAAGGAGTACTTTAGGTGTTGTTTGAGTTAGGGGGCTTGATTTGCAACCTTGACATATTTAAAAATCATGAAAAAAGGTTGCCATCCCTTTCATTTTTTCTTGAACGATTCACTCAATTCCGTATCTGAACCAACTGGAGAAGGCTGGTTTGGAGAAGGACTTAAGCTAATTGTCAGAGAAAATATAAATGCAGTGACAACCCAAATTCTGATGTTATAAGTCATATTTCTTTCTTTTTTTAAAATGTCGGACACAAGGCAAGCAATTGAACCTCTCCACTCCTCACCACTTGCTGTGAAGCATCCCTGAAACTTTTCTCCAGTGTCCTTAGCTGATTATGGTGCATTAAACACCAGGTAATGGGTGTTTCCCAGCTTTCTTGGTGAATTGTTTTGGTAAAATCTTGGACAAATAATTCATTACCAAGATGAGGTGGGTCATCAAAATGTGGATCAAACAGTAACTCAAATGCAGTGAATGGTAATGGTGCGTGAGAGATCATTGGAAGTTTTCTGTCGAATCTCAATGAATCTTAGGATTGGAGTACTAAAGTTTTTTGGAAGCCTTAGTTTAAATCACCTGCTTCTTCTAATGAGGCTGGTTGTGCAACGTTTAGTTTTTACCAAAATATGGAGTTAATTTAAATTTTTGACCTCTCACTATTTTAATATTTTGATTTGACAATCTGCCAGAAACCGTGTTTGTAACTTTCTATGAAATTTCAGGTAGCTTCATCGAAAATTAGTAAGGACCCTCCTGTTGGTTTTGCTTTGATACGGCCTCCAGGTCATCATGCGGTTCCAAAGGGGGCCATGGGGTTTTGTGTGTTTGGAAATGTTGCAATTGCAGCACGTTACGCTCAGCATGTGCATGGTTTAAAGCGTGTTTTTATCATTGACTTTGATGTTCATCATGGCAATGGAACCAACGATGCCTTCTATGAAGATCCCAATGTTTTTTTCCTTTCGATTCACCAAGTAAGTCACAATTGTATCATACCTGTTTGCATCTTCACAAGCAATATAAATTTTTGGTTTTCTCATTTGTGGGTATTGCTGCATTTTGTGAAATCGTTAACCTTCCTTATATTGGTATTGTGTAGGATGGGAGTTACCCTGGAACAGGAAAAGTACATCAGGTTGGAGCTGGAAAAGGTGAAGGATCAACTCTGAATCTCCCTTTACCAGGAGGATCTGGTGATACTGCCACGCGGAAGGTGTTTGATGATGTTATTGCACCATGTGCACAGAGGTTCAAACCAGATATAATCCTGGTCTCAGCCGGGTAATTTTCTTGATTTTAACTCATTAATTAAGCACATAAACACTGTGCTTGTGTCTTAAGAAAAAACCAAGGGAGTTTGCAGGACAATAATAATCATATATACTACGTAATATATACTACGTACTAGTTAACAATAGTAATGATGATGATAATAATAATAATTATTATTATAATTATTGTTTTGCATCCAGATATGATGCACACATGCTGGATCCCCTAGGCAGTCTGCAATTTACAACAGGGACGTATTACATGCTTGCTTACAACATCAAACAACTAGCCAATAATTTGTGTGCTGGCCGTTGTGTCTTTTTCTTGGAAGGAGGGTACAATCTGTACTCTCTTTCCCACTCAGTTGCAGACTCATTCCGTGCTTTTCTTGGGGAACCAAGCTTGGCTAAAACGTCTGATGATGTTACTCTCTTGTACAAAGAACCATCTACCAAAGTAAATCAAGTAATAGAGAAAATCAAGTACATACATTCTCTCTGAGAAGAGATTCAGGTCAGTTTGTGTAATAATACTACTAGCCACCGTGAACTTCATACGTTTCCACAAAAAAAGTGTGGCAGTTTCAACACTGGTACACCTTTAAAAAAAATTATACACTAAATGACTCAAGTTGTACATCCTTAGACCTCAAAGGAACATATTCTCCACGATAAACCTCTAGATGATCAGACAAAGAGGACTTGTCAATATTTTCATGGTGATATGATTTGCAGATAAAGTAGATGATCGTCTGAGTTGTGAGTCCAAAGAGTATCAAAACTGCCAACAACATCACAAACAAAATTCCATAAACTACCCTCCCTACATCTCCACCTCCATAGCCGAGTACCACAAGGTACTCAAACCCTGTATGAATCCCGAAGAAAACCATGTTCATAAGCAAGAAAATGACCGATGAAATACCCATTTTACCCTTTATCAGGCATTGGCTCTTGATCATGGCATTTAGTCCATGCACATCTTCAAGCACCGATACCACACTCGCGAGATGATATATAACAGTGATATAAACAAAGCCCACCATGTAGACAATGAATAAAAGTGTAACAACGGACACTCCGATTGCTCCGGGGCCCACCGTTACCAGCCAGATAATCATAATAAACATAGCCATGACATTGTAAGCAAGAAGGATGACAAAGCTCCATAGGAATGTGACCATTAGGCGTTTCCAGACTTTAGGGACAACGGACATGACCTTCTTGAAGGTGATGTCCTTGGCGGTGTAGATGGAGGCAATGGTGTAGACAACAGCGGAGGTGGAAAGGAGGGTGAGGATGAAGAAGAAGATGGAGTAGGCTATCTTGAAGAGCCAGAAGATGGTCCATTCAGAATACAGGACATCTGATATCTTGTTGTACGCCTTGGTTCCTTGCTGGATTCTATCAATAATATATTCGTCCCGAAGGATATCTGTGAAAATTAGGTCGGATATCTCAACATGTGCTAGGTAAATGAAAGCCAGAGGGATGATCATGGCGGATGTTATCTGCATAAAAATCTTCTTCCATGTTGAAACCAGGGTAAATGATTCCTTGAATATGCCGAGGAACCCGAGAAACTGAATCTCGTCTTGTTCTCTGTCCATTAATGTAATGATCAGATGAGATGAACAAATAATTAATCAAGAACGTATATGGAAGATGATGTTTTTTTTCTCAATAGTTTTACAAAGGCATTATATGTATTCATCTGACACCTCATTATATTGAGGGAGGAGGATGAGGAAAGGTCTATTCTACGTTGAGAAAAGAACATTGACTTTTTGTTTAAAAAGGAGCAAATTAAGCTGTAATTATCCTAGATGCCCGGTCAAAATTGACAAGCTTCGCACCATTTCCTTCTTTCTATTTTCCTTGGTGTTGACACAGCGTGCGAGAAAGGTGTCTGAAGATATCAACGCGGCGAACTATCCTATGTGACAAGGATATGGAATACACAATTAGAGAATGGTTTGAGTGAAATATTAAAGCACTAGGAAGCGGATCGTTACAACAGACTCAAAAAGACCAACTTAGACAAAAACTATCCCTAACCAACTATTGCAATCAACCCCACGGCTAGACTCTGAGACGATCACCCCTGAAAGAACAATGCGAATCGCTAACCACCAAGCGGGTGTGACACAACAATCACTGGCCATATAGATTCTTCTAATGACATAATATCTAGGAGAATTGACAATCATTATTATAGACCCAAAACTAAAAACCTCAATAAAAACGAAACACCGTAAACAAACATAATGCGAAAATAAGACCGTAAAAATAGAATAACTGACAAATACTTCAAATTTCTTGAAATTTCACCTTCCAAATCCCGACATTGCGATCAATCCAAGGCGGCGGTTCTGGAGGGGGACGGACCGCCGATCTGTATTCTCCCTTGCTCAGCCCTTCGTCGCTCCTCGTTTGTTCATCGCCTGTGCTGAGGGCCGGAACCAAAACTGTCAACACCTGATCTGTGGCTAGATTGCCAATACCCCGATTTCCATCTTCTTATACTGGTCCACGATGATTTCCATACAAGACTCGCTTTCCTCAAACAGCTAAATCGAATTCGCCCGTTGGAAATCTCTCCTCCGTTCGCTGCTTCGTCTTCTCAGTACGCCCGTCAAACACACCACAAAGCTGCCGGTTCGAACCAGAAACTCTTCACCTGCCTCCCTCGTCGCCCCACCTTCCGAATCCTTAATGCCAAAAATAAAATAGATTGCTGGAAATCCAGCTCCTCGGCGTAAGCCGATAGCGGACGCTAGCGGTTGGCCTTGCGGCAACAATAGAAAGGGAAACTTTCTAATAGAGTACAATTAAATACGGAGTATTTCTTCTTAAATATTCAATTTTAGTATGACAAAAAAGTTTTCTATCCTTACTTTTTTAGAACATCCCAATGTTTTATTCCCAATTTCATTTAATAAAAGATAAAAGATTTGCATGATTAATAGTATTGATCGTCTTTATATATTAATACAGTAATAACTGCAACATACAATTGTACATTTGTACATTATTAAAAGATGTACAATTTGATCAGTCTACTCTTTACTGAGATCATTATAGACTTAAACAGATCAAATCAAACAAATTTGAATTTAAACAATAGTAAAATACATGTATACAGATGTTTACTAAATTTATACAAATCAAATCAGAATAGATGTTCCAATAAAAAAAGTGAACTCTAAAATAACAGTAAAAAGCAGTTTATAATGATACGAAGAGTGTGTCATAAACTTTTGTACGGATTATTAGCCTTATACATGAAATGAATCTAAACAAGTAAAGAAGATTTTAAAAAACATGTACAAAACAAATTATTCGTCACTATAAATAACGTCCAACCTGAGTTTAGGGTCAATTAATATGAATTGTCATATAAACTAGAGTTAAACAGATAAAAAGATGAGCTAAAAAAGCCTCTTTACACTTCTGTCACTGTGTTAATTATGTTACAATGTTACATGTAGGGCTGGACTGAACCGGGCCGGTTCAGGCCTCGGGCCTGGGCCCGGCCGGGCCTCGGTTCAGAATATTGAGGCCCGAGCCCGAACCGGGGGTGGCCGGTTCCGGGCCGGTTCCGGGCCAGACCGGGCCGGTTCCGGGCCGGGCCACCGGAACCGCCGGTGGACCGGGCCACCGGGCCGGGCCGGTTGCTACAGTGGCCGGGCCGGCCCGGTTCCGGGTCGGGCCGCCCGGCCCGAGTCCAGGCCTAGTTACATGAGCATCCTCAATACCTCCAGGTTCCGAGTCTAGTCTCTATTAACAATGTCAAATTATTAAAAGAGTTTCTAATCAACATAATAAAAAGTGGAGTGATTGGATAGTGAGGAATGAAATAAGCCCCCAATGCATTTAGGCTTTGTTTGCAACCACTTATGCTTAAATAAAAGCACTTTTTGGGAAAAAGTGATTAGTAGTAAAAGTTGGTAGTGTTTGATAAAATAAGTGCTTTTTGTGTAATAGAAAAAGTAAAAAGTAGATTCTACACAAAAACCGAGATAGTAAAAGTTGGTAGTGTTTGGTAAAATAAGTGTTTTTTTCTTAAAAAAAAAACCAAAAACACTTATCAACAGAGATTGCAAACAGAGCCTTAGTCGGCCCATGAAAATGACCATGTGGAATTTAATATATATATATATATATATATATATTCAAATAATAGTAAAACTGCTAATATATACTCCGTATTAAATTAAAATAAAAGTGTCATGTGAAAACTTCCAATTGTTTCGTTTCACTCTTGTTTTCCTAAAAAAAAATGTCATGTCAATGGATCTTACTTACACACTACATACATTAGACCATTTGTAGTGGTCAAGAGTCCAAATTGTTAAATTTGGACTCCGTCCATATGAAAACAGTGTTTAGACTCCGTCAATACTGTTTTCCCTTGCATCCGTGCACCGTCAATAAAATACACTCTGCATATTTTTTACATATCAATTTAGTAAAACATTAATTAAATTATTATAAGTAATATTTTCCTTTTAACTTTTTCCCGGGATAATTATGAAATAAAAAATACACATTTCGAATAAAAATAAATAAATTTCACTAATTTTTTTTATGATTTTTTGTTAACAAAAAATGAACATAGTTCAGATAAAATTGGATTATGGAATATCCAGCTAATATTTGTGAAGGCTCAATGAATTAAAAATTTGTATTTCGTGTTTTTTTGGGTTCAAAAAAACTTCAACAATTATTTTTTTTTTTGCATTTTATATATTACATATTGGTGTCATATGAAAGATCATACAAATTCGTGAATTTTGATATAATTTTTGAAAAATTCGGAGAACAAATAAAAAAGTTATAAGAGTTTAAAATAAATTGGGATTTTAATGACATATGCGTGACATCATCGTGATGTCACCAGAACCATGAACAGAGCAGACGGCAGAAGAGTGCCGCGTTTTCTTCTTCTTTTTTTTCTTTTTCCTTTTCTTTTACCCTGTCAACCTAACCCTCTATTTATACACTCTTCCACTCCCCTTCCCACTTTTACTCCCCCTTTTAATCTACCACTATACCAAATTAAGAGTCTAAAAATTCTATTTTTAATCTTTTGACTCCTAATCTATAACCACTACAAATGGTCTTAGAGGAGAAAATGAGCAGTGTAAGTCGTCTAATTTAATGATGTTACACACTTTACCTAGACTAAACATATGTGCATTGGGATGCTCTGCTCACACAAACATTGAGATACGAAGAGTGTAAGAAAGATTTAAAAAAAAAAACACAAATACTATTGAATATGATACTTGTTAGATTAAATGCGCTGAACATGAAAGGTATACTAGTATGATATAAAGAGCAATAAAAAATGAAAAATAAAAATAAAAAAAATATGAAAAAAAGAGCATAAATACTTGTATGATATAAAGAGCATAAATAGTTAAATACTAATCCGTACAAAAAGTAAACCAAAATTAGAAAGCTTTCGCAAAATTGGAGCATTGTAACAAATCTTTTGTAAAAGAAACATACTTTGTGTACATCATTTGCACGCAATGTCTGTCTACTCAGACAAAATTGTCTGTATACCAATAGTGTACATCAAGCATCCCTCTTTCTAAAAAGTTAAATTCAAATGAGAAGGCTTTATTTTAAATTTCATTTCAATCATCTCATATTTTACTTAAAATATTCGAGCGCTTATGAGATGAAATTTGAGCTATGGCCTATGGATAAATAAATTTTGGGTCACGTTGAATTGAGCATCAGACTGATTTTAAGTTTTCTTCAAAATTCAAAGGAAAATGTCATTTGTACACTTTTTTGTAAACTTTTGTTGTACACACACCCGTAGTTGCCTGTATACACAGGCAGCTCGTTCAGAATCCCTTGTGTACACATGCAACTAGGCAATGTGTGCCACAAAAGTGTAGAAAAAAAGTGTACATGTAGCATGCTCCAAATTCAAATACCATTATGCATCCACTCTTCGCTGCCAAAACATTTAAGAAATTCCAATTTTGATTTAAATTGTCGCGCATCATCAATTCTCAGTCTCACGTGAATGCACTTGAAGTGTGTGCATTCCATAGGGCTTCTTACAATCTTACACGAGTAAATATTACTTTTGGTCCTACGAGTATGGTAACAACTAACATAACATTATCTCAGAGCCGCAAAAGTTTCCCCTATGATGGGGTAAAGGCGATCAAATGTACGCAACCTTACTTCTATACTAGAGCCCTTTCAAATGACTCATTATGAAAATGCGTTGAAAATTGCATGGACTGAGTTCTGCTTCATAAAAAGCGCAAACAATTTAGTGAGTCATTTTGTTTTATTTCATCATCTTTTCAAGCTGAAAATAGTGGATCTTTGATTAGATTGAAATGGTTGAAATATTTTTGGTCATATGAGCATTGCACCGATTTCACTTGTGGCCCTCATCTTTGACTTTGTTCATTTGATACATGATCGTTAAAATTGCCGAAGAGGCGTCGAAAATTGAACGTAAGAACCAAAAATGGTCAAGAAAGATTAATTGAATTAAATGTACAAAGACGTGTGTTGAATTAATATAAAACTAGTAGAACCAAAAGTGGAATTCTACTTACATTGAGGAAGACCAAACAGCCTCCAGATAGGCCATTCGGACCATCTTAGTTTGCAGTGGGCAGTGATCGGCCAACCCCACCATTGGATGGCTTCCAATGATGCCAACAAAACATTCACCGCCAGACAGTAGCCAATGACTTCATGGAACCTCCATTA